ATGAAGCCTAGAGATTTGTTGGAGGTGGAACTGAACTGCCAATGAGGAAACTGAGGCACCAAGTCGGGGAATGAATGCCAGCCCAGTCACAGCTGAGGTCACAGTGGCCTTGGGTAGGGTACAGAAGGGGAAGAAGTGCTCTGGCTCTATGACGTCCTGCAGCTAATGTTGGGGTGCAATGGCGTGGCACCACCCCACCCTTCCGTATTCCCTACTTGGGTGTGCTCCCATCTCCAAGCCATGCCTGGCCGTGCCCCCCGAATGGAAGGCCATCTCTCCCTATCAACACGGGGTTGGGGGGATGTGTCTTTGCTGCCACCTCTCCCGTGGGTACGGTCTGCTGAGAATGGCAGCTCCGTTGCTGGTACACAGCAGGACCTCAATTTGTGCAGGGCCCCACTGGGGAGAAGGGGTGGACCTCAGTTTCCCCAACCATCCAACGGCAAGGGAGGCTCCTGCCTCTGGCCCTTGGACCGCCGACCAGGCCCTCTGCCTGCTCGTGCCTCAGTTTTCCGTCCGCAGCCTGGACACATGTTGGGCATCCTTAGTCTATGGCGCTTGTGGCGGGGCTGACCAAGGGCGGGCCCTTGGGGAAGCCAGCAAGGGACAGTGGAGGGGGCTGAGTCCCTCCCTCCCTTCCCGCATCTCTCCCACTACCCCTCTGTACTGAGGCCAGGACGGAAGGCCTCTGACTACAACTCCCAGCAGGCCGCACGCGGCGAGCCCCGCCCAGAGCCCACCTGGAGTGGCCTCCCCCGCGGGGAACGGGGGCGGGGATTCCTCCTCCTCCCTCCCCTCCTGGGCTGGGGCCTGAGTCCCAGCGCGGCTCCTCCTCCATGGGCACAAAAGGCTAAGCCCAGCTCCGACTCCTGGTCAGAGTCTAGGTCGTCCAGTGGTTGGAGGCTGGAGCGCGGCGGCGGCGGCGTCGGAGGTGGTGGCGGAGTGGGGCTGGAGGCGGAGGGGTAGTGGGGGGGGCGAAGGGGGCGGGGCCGCAGAGGGAGGAGAGGAGAGCTAGCTGGTGGGGGTGGGCTTCCTTTGGGGGGGTCACCTGAAACTTCATGGCTGGGGGGGGTGTTGCGATCCCACGTGGGCGTGCCCCCCACTGCCTCCCCCTCCAGAGCTGTGGCCCAAAGGAGGGGATGCATCTGTCTCCCGAGTCCCCTGGGAGGTGGGGATCCCACGCCTGGTCCTCCCTGGTGTGTGGGCTGCCGTTTCGGGGTGTTTGTAATGGTATCCCACCCCACTTCCCTGGCCAGTGCCGCTGTCCTGGGTCCTGTGTGCATCCGTGTGGCCTGTCCGTCTCTCCCCAGGCTGCACTGGGAGCATCTTGAGGACAGCCACTGCTTTGGCCCCTGACACACAGTCGGTGCTCAGTCAGTCCATGTGGTTTGATTGCATGAAGGATGTTGGCCTTTTGTGTGGACTTCTGTTGGGAAAATGAAGCATGTCTAGTATCCCGACTCTGCAGTGTAACAAGTCTCCTTCATGCACCCTCTCTGTGTCCCAGAAAAAGCTGTCCTAGAGTCCATGAGCCTCTTTTTGTGACTTGGGCTTTCTTTGCTTTTCCACCTCTGTGTGTGTGTGTCTGCTGGCAGGCTTTTTTCAGGGTATCAGTACAGTGGGGGAGGAAGAGGAGTTGACCTGCTCCTCCCTCCCTGGCCCCTCTCATCCCACATTTCCTATCTCTCCTGGCTCTTTCCCTGCTGCCTACAAGTAGGCCCATGTCTCCCTCATCCTGAACAAATCCTCAGTTAACCCTTCCATCCCTGCTAACTCTGGTCCTACAATGTCTTCTACCATTTGTGGTGAAACTCCTGAAAAAGCCAGTGTACACCAGCTGCCTCCACTGTCTGTCCTCTCCAATTTCCAGCCCAAGACAATCTGGATGGTTGACCGCAAAGGTATATCCTGCAGAAATGGGAGAGGAGCTCAGCTTGGTATGAGTGTGTGGGCCTCAGCAAACCTGGAGCAGGCCTCAGAGAACTCAACTGTGGGCAGCTGTGGTGGCTTCCAGACCTGTCAACCCAGGAACATCCAAGACAACTTAGAAGGTCAGTGGGAAAAGTCTGTTTGTGCTGTGAGAGAGGAGCTAGGTCTCAGAGCCATTTCCCAAACAGAGAGCTGTGAGCACTGCCCCGGGGCAGTGGCTGCCTCCTGAGCTTCTGACCCACAGACTGAGGGGGAATGGAGTGGCTGATCAGAGGGGGATTGCAGGGATGTCTTTGCCAGTGCTGAAGAAGGAATCTCTTGCTTTGCCCGTCCTTGGGTCTGGGTTACAGTTCTGGGCGGCGGTCCTGGGGCGAGGAGGAGCACTGGCATGGTAGAGTTTGTAGCGGCTGTAGAGAGAAAATCCTCCTCAAAGTTCCAAGACAGAAAAAAGCTTGTGGTCATTTACAGAGGAAAGCACAGGCCAGGAAAGCAGTAAACACCTCTCCCTTTATCATACCACCTTGGAAAAAGTGAAAATTTACAGGTTCCAAGAAGTATCTCTAAAAACAGCTGTACAAACCCCCGAAACGTGGGACAGTACATTCTCCACATTGGAAACATACCTCTAGCTTAACAAAGAGTTTATAACTCAGGTAATTGGCTGGGATCATGAGCAAACCTCACAAGAAGTGTCCGACCACAGAATCATTTTTTGGTCATAAAGAACATGAAAACATACCACAAGAAGACAACAAAGTCAAATCTCCCATGTCCAAAGCCTCCAAGAAAAATAGGAATCAGTTCCAGGCCTTGGAAGAACTGAGAAAGAATTTTGAGAAGCAAGTAAGAGAAGTGGAGGAAAAACTGTGAAGAGAAATGAGACTGATGCAAGAAAGTCATGAGAAACAAGTCAACAGCTTGCTAAAGGAGACCCAAAACAATAGTGAAGAAAATACCACCTTAAAAAAGAGCATAGCCTAAATGGCAAAAGAGGTTCAAAAAGCCAATGAGAAGAAGAATGCCTTAAAAAGTAAGATTTGCCAAATGGAAAGGGAAATCCGAAAGCTTACTGAAAAAAAAAAAGGACTTCCTTAAAAATTAGAATAGAGGAAATGGACGGTAGTGACTTTATGAGAAATCAAGACACCGTAAAAAAACCAAAAGAATGAAACATTAGAAATCAATGTGAAATATCTCATTGGAAAAGAACTGACCTAGAGAATAGGTCCAGGAGAGATAATTTAAAAAGTATTCGACTATCTGAAAGCCATGATCAAAAAAAGAGCCTAGACATCATCTTTCAAGAAATTATCAAGGAAAATGGCCCTGATATTTTAGAAGCAGAGGGCAAAATAGAAATTGAAAGGATCCACCGAACTCCTCCTGAAACAGATCCCCAAAGGAAAACTCCTAGGAATATTGTAGCCAAATTCCAGAGTTCCCAGGTGAAGGAGAAAATATTACATGCAGCCAGAAAAAAAAAAAACTATTCAAGTATTGTGGAAACACAATCAGGATAACACAAGATTTAGCAGCTTCTACATTAAGGGAGCAGAGGGCATGCAATATAGTGTTCCAGAGGGCAAAGGAGATAGGATTGCAAGCAAGAATCACCTACCCAGGAAGACTGAGTATAATCCTTCAGGGGGAAAAAATGGTTATTCAGTGAAAGAGAGGACTTTCAAACATTCTTGATGAAAAGACCAGAGCTGAATAGAAAATTTGACTTTCAAGTAGAAGACTGAAGTTGAACATGAAGAGGTAAATGGGAAAGAGAAATCAGAAGAGACTTATTAAAGTTGAACTGTTTACATCCCTGCATGGAAAGATGACATTTATAACTCATGAGACCTTTGTCCGTATTGGGGTAGTTGGAGGGAAAAAATTCTATGTATGTATATAGATAGATAGAGAGACAGATAGATATAGATATACATATAGATATAGGCATAGATATAAATAGAGGGCACAGGATGAGTGGAAGAGGAAGAGGTCACATCTGGAGAATAAAGTAAAGGGGTGAGAGAGGATTATACTGGGAGAAGGAGAAAGGGAGAGGTAGAATGGGGTAAATCATCCCAGAAAAAAAAATAAAAAAATAAAAGCCTCTTACAGTGGAGGGGAAATTGGAAGGTGAGAGGGAATGAGTGAATCTTATTCTCCTAGGATTTGTCTTAAGGAGTGAATAGCAGAAGCACTCAATTTGGTATGGAAATCTGTCTACCCTACAAAAAAATAGGGGGAGAAGGGGACAAGAGAGCAGGGGGATGATAGAGAGGAGGACAGATTGGGAAATTGGGTAGTGAGAAGCAAACACTTGTGAGGAGAGACAGGGTCAAAAGAAAGAATAGAGTAAATGAGGAGGGTGGGATAGGATGAAGGGAAATAGAGTTAGTTTTTCACAACATGACTACTATGGAAGTGTTTTGCATAACTGCACATGTATAACCTATATTGAGTTGCTTGCCTTTTCAATGAGGGTGGGTGGAAAGGGAGGAAGGGAGAAAATTTGGAACTCAAAGTTTTAAAAACAGATGTTGAAAACAAATGTTTTCACATGTAACTGGGAAATAAGAAATACAGGAATGGGGTACAGAAGTCTATCCTGCTGTACAGGAAAATAGAAGGGGAAGGGGATAAGAGAAGGGAGGGGGGAGAGATAGCAGAGAAGGCAGAACAGGGGAAGGGGTATTCAGAATGCATGTCATCTTGGGGTGGGGGGAGGGGTGAGAAATTTGGAACTCAAAAACTTGTGGAAGTGAATGTTGAAACCTAAAAATAAATAAATATATATGAAATAAAATGAATAAAAAATTTACTAAAAAAAAAAGAAGTGAATGTTGAAAACTAAAATAAATAAATTTCCAAAAAAGGAAAAAACATCTCTATGCACCAGACAGGAAGCTTGTGGGTCTGTTTTAATTGCACTCTCCATAAAATTTTCAGCTCAGTAACCTTCTTCATAAAAGAATTTTGTTAATATATTGTGTGTGTGTGTGTGTGTGTGTGTGTGTGTGTGTGTGTGTGTGTGTGTGTGGGTCGAGCTAGGTGTTATCTTGACCTAGTGACTCAGGAAGGAGAAACCACCAGCAAGGCAGGCTGGGTGAGCCACTGCCTCATTCACTGATGATGGTATTGAAAGACAGGCCTTACCTTGGAAGCCTGGAGCAGCACAGCCTGACTTTG